ATAATATAATATAATATAATTAATATAATATAATATAATATAATACATTTGCATTTTAGGACATGCATGACAGTATTCTAGAGAAACAGACAAGCAAACAATGACCAAACTTTGTATTAGATACTTTATACTGTTTTAACAGTTTGTTGTCTTCCCCTTGAAGATAAAAATAATAACAGCATCATCACACATTTCTTCTCTAATCCCGAATCGACTAACAAGCATCCTGGTGTTGACCAGCCACATTTCAAACCAGGCTGAAACTGAGGAGTTGGGTGACGGTGGTGCAGCATGTGTTGTGTATGATGCTCGTCACTGTGCTAATTGGGCTTGTGCTATTATTACTGAACTCTGCATGAATCCGAGGGTGGGTGAGAATCTAATGGTCACTCTATAACAGACCAACATCTTTGTTTTATTGCATGTAGCACTGATTCAGAGAGTCAGTGCTCTATATATACGTCTGTATGATTACTTGGTTGTGTATACAGGCATCTGATGAATCAGATACTAATAAAACTGAAAGAACATCTAAAAAAAAACTAATTAGGCAATAGTGAAGAGTACATTCTGGCACCAAATTTCATAATAAACATTAAAAACTGTTACTGTTTAGAATTTGTTTTTGAATTATTTTATGAAAAATGACAGTTTTTGGACTATTGTGATGGTTTTATCAGCTGTTTAGACTCATTCTGACGGCACCCATTCACTGCAGAGGATCCATTGGTGAGCAAGTGATGTGATGCTACATTTCTCCAAATCTGCTCAGAGGAAGAAACAAACTCATCTACATCTTGGATGGCCTGAGGGTGAGTACATTTTAATTTTTGGGTGAACTACTTCTCTAAGTAAACAGCAAGATAAAACGAGCTTCCACCAATATTTTATTTGTGGATTAATTAATTTATTTTCTATCTACACAGTCATTGCACATTCATTTTTTACAATTCCACTTTTCAATTCGATGTCTGCATTTCAAAGACTTTCAGCCTTGTGAAAAACAGCAGAATTTTTTTTGCGCCCTAAAAAGCGAGGCAGTCCGTATCCTCCGATGACTCATTTGGCTTATCCTATGATGCGTTCAACAACTGCAATGCCTCATAAACTAAGTTCTGTCTCTATGGCAACAACCGGGGCCTTCAGTTTTACACAGTTATTGGATTTCAAAACAATTGGATTGACCCCCAAACCCAGTGGTTAAGGCCACTGCGAACCCTGGTGCAAAGCAGACACACACAGCATTTCAATTATTTTACACCTATGCATGTAAACATAAAACTAAAATAAATATGAATTATGTAATCTTTACTGGAACGACACTACATATACATAACCTATAATGCCACATCTATAATAACAAGTATATGTGTGTGGGTGTATATATATATATAAGACAAATATTGTATGTAATATGCAAGTGTGTCTCTGTATGGGCTGTTGGGGATGTTCAATATTTTTCATTGCTGTCCTTTTCTAAAATACCAAAGCAAATCAGAAAAAGAAAACTGAGTTAAAGGGACATTACTGTTACTATGATATTTTAATGCATGTAAGCTTAAAAAAGCATGTGTAAGCACCCGGTTCATTTCCTTTGGGTAACATATTCCATCTTTATTAAAGGAGTCTGCTGTTATACAGTAATAGCCGATACTTATCAGATTATCATGATTTAAGAGTCCCGTATGAACAATATCTCTCTAATATAATGGACAAACCTGATTTATGTTTGATTTTGAACAGATTTACTTATCAAAAGGTCAGTGTGAAATTAGTTGATTCATGACTCACCAAGAGACAAAATAAAGGAATACCATGATTTAGAGCAGGGATTTTCAAACTGGGGTCGAGGGGGCCACAAGGGGGCGCTAGGGGGTCCATGAATTTTTTTTTACAAAATGTATCCTAACAGTAACAAATAAAAACTCAATATGCGTGTAGTGTTGGGGGAAAATATTTTTTATTTGTTTCTAAATATTAATATCACTTTCCTTGTGATGCACATTTTCCTGTGCTCTAATAAAAAATATTGTGCTGCTTAATATGTTTGTGAAAACTGTGATACATTTTTTTTTCCAGATTTTGTTGATGAATACAAAGTTCAAAAGAACCGCATATTTGAAATAGAAATCTTTTGTAACATTATAAATGTCTTTACTGTCAGCTTTGATCAATTTTATGTATCCTTGCTGAATTGTTAATTTGTATCAATTTCTTATCAGAAAACACTAACCCCCAAATTTTGAAAGATAGTTAAGATTTATTAGCTTATAGAAAAAAACATTTTATGGGTAGAGTAGAAGACAAGTTGTTTTGGAACAGAGATGTAGTGAAGGTGAGTCTGGAAAACAAAAACATTCACGGGAAAACTAGAAATCCCACAGAGTCACCTATTTAAAGGTGAAGTGTGTAATTTATATCAATACACACAGCATCTTTAAGGGGTTAAAATGTATATCTAGCGATTAACAGAAAACCCAAGTCAGTTCACTGGCTAACAGATGGTGCTCAGTCATTCTTGAGACGTGGGACAAAACAGGTCCAGCAATGGTAACTGCTATTAGCTTTCAAAAATAAAAATATTTTCAATTTTAATAAAATGGATAAAAATGTTTTTTAATGATGAAAATT